AAACAATGGGAATAAATTGGATAAGCTTAGATTTAGGAAAGACATGGGTAAAAACTGGTTCGGTAACAGGGTTGTTGATTTTGGAATGAATTGCCGCGTAACGTGGTGGAGGTGGGGTCCCTCGATTGTTTCAAACGTGAGTTGGACATTTATATGAGTTGGATTGGGTGGGTATAAATAGGAGCTGCCTCGTATGGGCCAATAGGCCTTCTGTAGTTACCTTTATTATTATGTTCTTATGTGTTCTGGGAATTTTTCGCCTCTCCAAACCCAGCTTGTTGACCAGACTTTACTTGTGATAACTTGGTGCAACACACACTGTTCTCCCATAGAAATGAGAGGCAAAACAGTAAAGGAAATAATGGAATGCATAGCAGAAAACACAGATGATAAACACATTCCGGTAATTAAAAAGAGAAGTTCAGAACAGAACACAATAGAGGGGCAGCCGAAGACCTATATGTAAGGTTGTGATATACGGCATCATTTCTGCACTGAACGATCAGTCACTAGAGTGAATGTTCAAGAACGGGGAAATGGCGGGAACTCTCTTCACACACAGCTTTACTGGGACGTAGCATAGGAACTAATTCAGAGTTGTTTTGCTAGGTAACCTTCAGTTTGTCAGGACGGGGCTCTGGAGCTGAAGCTCAACCACGCCAGCTCAAGTGGGTGAGTAGACACGTGTTTCAAGTTAGTGTCCTGAAGGTTGAGTACGGTACCATTGGCTCCCCCTCAGGGTTGAGCTGTGTGGGGAAGAGTTAGTAGCCTACTCTCACTATACCCTCTCCCTCTACACTCACAGTAATCTCACTCTACACTCACCCTGACCTCACTCTACACCCACCGAGCCCTCGCCCTTCCCTCACCATTCCCTGCTCTAACCGACCCATTCCCTAAAGCTGTTCTACTTATAACGACTTAAAAAATAAAGTTTCCCAGAGATACCGACTTTTCACGTAAAAATTTCCCTGGACCTACTGGAGACTCTTGAGACCTTCCCTCTCCCGGTGGGGGAAAAAATGTAGAGCAGTGGCGGGTCGTCCCCACCTGCTCGCCCCCTTAGACGTGTTATTGACGTGTTTCTTTCCTTCCCATTCTTTGTGTTCCAGAGCCGGAAGCCGACGAGAAGAAATCGGGTAGGCTTTTCTCTCGTAACTCCCATGTCGATTTTCCTTTATTGTAAGTTGAGAAATGATTTGTGTAAGAAAGTGAGAGAATAAAATGAGGAAGAAATAAAAGAGAGAGAGTGAGAGAGAGAGAGAGAGAGAGAGAGAGAGAGAGAGAGAGAGAGAGAGAGAGAGAGAGAGAGAGAGAGAGAGAGAGAGAGAGAGAGAGAGAGAGAGAGAGAGAGAGAGACAGAGAGACGGAGAGAGAGAGAGAGGAGACAGAGAGAGGGACAGAGAGACGGAGAGAGGACTGATTAATCAACACTGACGCAGTGCTCCGTAACCTCTCTTTATTGAATCAAAGATCCAAATACTCCGCAGTTCTTCCATTGTGTTCAGCATGCTTCATCACTCCATGTAATTATTTTAGTGCTGCCATTATACGCTAATTTTCGCAGCAACAATTAAAAATTCTCTTGATATTGAAACCTCCGAGACTATAGTGAACATCTGTAACAAAATTACCCACATTTATTTAGTTATATTTATCCTGGATATATATAACGAATGAATCTAGTTATATTTATCTATTTATCCTGGCCATAAAGACTTATAACGCATCACCATTTTGTATTCCTTTCCCTCATCAACAGCTTCTACCCCTTCACCATCATCACCCTCACCCCCTTCACCATCACCACCCTCTGCCCCTTCACTATCATCACCCTCGAGGCTTACAGCGGAGGGGCGAGCTAACTAGATACACGTGCCTTTAAATACACAAATTATTGAGATGTGTTGCCTAACGGAATCACCCAATCCGTCAGAATTGCCGAGATTTAGAAAAAAAAAATTGAGACTATAATATTGACATTTTCAGAGCACTCGCCTCGATATGTTAGCAGCTTTCTGGAAAGAGAGAACAGTTGTGTTACATACGGTGTCGCAGGGTGAGGTCTGACTAGTTCAGTAACACACACATCGCCATCTATATAATATTTGGTATAGAGTGTGGGGTTTGACGCTAATATATCAGGTATTGTAGCTGATCTGTACATTGCTGTTGTTCACTGATCTCTACACAGAGAGTAATCACACTAACGTGATGTGTGTGTCAGTGAGAAAATCCGTAGGAGCCGTGATGAGGATTCGAACTTATTCGGTGAGTGTTCCCACGCACACGCCCTAGTCAATTAGGCCATCACATGGTCAAAAAGATTGCAACCTGGAGTTCTATTGGAGCTCACAATGGTTTTCTGAGGCTTCCACTGAAGTCGGACCAGGATTTTCACACAATCACCCCCCATGCACTCTGGCTCCAGGAATGTTCTACCCCTGGCGCTCCTCTTTCAATACACAGGTACCAATCCTTTTTGTCCGTGTCGTGGCCTAGTTGACTAGGGCGTGTGCTTGTGAACACCCACCGCATAGGTTCGAACCCTCATCACGGCCCCTACGGATTTTCTAATCTATGCAGTTTTGTGGTTGACTGATCTATACAGGTTGACGATGATTTATACAGTACTTATAATTAGACAATAATTAATTATTGAAATAAGTATACTTAGGTTGACAGACATAAACTATGCTTAACACACGTATTTACAATTTATATTAAAACAAATCAAATTTACAGAATATGTATTTTGATTTCCTAAACATCTTAGGCTTTCGGGTCTTTGAGCATTTTCGGGAAGTCTCTTACATTACGAGGACATTAGTTCCACATTCGTATGCAAATTACTAATTTTATCTGAATTTATTTGTAATCAGAGGGAATTCTTGCCTGAAGATTTTTGTAATATAATGATTTCTCTTTTTCTTCTTCATTATATATATATATATATATATATATATATATATATATATATATATATATATATATATATATATATATATAAAGAAGAATTATATAATATAATTTATATAATTATATTATATATAATATGTATGTAATATTTATGAGGAGAAATATCACAAGATAATAGACGTAATCTTTATTTTTCTATACGCATAAACGTTTAAAGTGTAAAGCAATATCTAAATATTCTAATGAGTCCAAGACTTTGTCAAAATCTTTGAATCTTTGTCAAAAGATACGAAACACCTAACAATCACCTTCCCGAAGATGAAACTAATATGTAAACAAGCAACCCGTCCTCGACGCAAGTCCATTACATCCAGCGGTCGACCCCACAGACGCATTCATAAATTTGTACATGCTATTCATTCAAAACGGGAATTTTCTCAAATATAAATTAATATTATAATATATTAGCATATTTTTTTATTTTTATTTTTTACATGCAAGCATGCGAATAAGAACAATAAAACGAGAACAAACAAGCAGAGCACAAAATCACAAACCTCAAATCACACAAGCACAAAAGTACAAAATTACAAAAACACAAAATACCGGCCTGAAGGCCCAACAACAAAAACATAACAATAAACACAAACACAGTGCAAGACAGTACAGAAAGAACAACGGTACAAGACATTGGGGTTAAAGGCTGTGTTACATGCAAGCATACGTAAAAGTTCAATAAAACTAGATCATAGTAAACAGAACACAAAATCACAAATAACAAAACCACAAAACACAAAAGTACAAATTCACAAATCTACACATTTACAAATTCACAAATCTACACATTTACAAATTCACAAATCTACACATTTACAAATTCACAAATCTACACATTTACAAATTCACAAATCTACACATTTACAAATTCACAAATCTACACATTTACAAATTCACAATTACACAAAAAACCGGCCTGAAGGGCCGACAACAAAACACAACAAGAAGCTCAAACACAATGCAATTTAACACACCGGCAAACTGTTTAAGTTAAGCAGTTGGAGTAACGGTAACTTCTGAAGAAATTAGGGTGAGAGGACATTAATATTTCTTCCAGGTGTGACCAGCAAGGAGAAGTCACGTATGATTTAATGTTATCCCAGACGGCGGACTGATCATGGTTCGAGATTACTGAAGTGCTTGCATGTTGGTAAATAACAATATATGGATAACCCAGCAGGCCATCAATGGTGTTTCTCTGCTGGTATTGACTTGATATGGTCCCAAGAGGGACTTGGTTGCGATTACTTCATTCTTCAGACGTAAAATTCTAGCTTGCGGGTCAGGTTAGTCAGTAAAACTAATAAAGGTTTGGGGCTTAGTAGCCCGACATGACCAAAGTGGTCAGGTGATGCAGAATATAGAGTATTGTGTATCTTATAAAATAACATGCATAGGGTGTCATTTTGTTCAACCCATACGTAGACTTCTCGGTTTGGTGCCTTCTTTTGATAATTACTTTGTTCAACCTAGTTTTATAAATGTTTTAATGCTGTAAAAAAATGTACTTTCTAAATATAAATAAAGATCTTTGAACATTTAGTTTTCCCTTCTCCATGTTACAACAGATTTCCATTTAAGCATATGTTAATATTGCTCGCACTTAATCCAGTTAGAGGTACGAAGGAATAAAGGGAATGAAAAGTGTGGTGACAAGGGAAATGTGATATTCAGATGAACAATATTAACACTTACAATGTATCTATTGAAGTATTACGCGAATAAGTCACAGGTAAAGTTGAAGGACTTTACTGTCGCTAATGGAAAAACTATAATTACCAAGAGCGAAAGTTTTAATCACTCACGAGGAAAACTGTAAATACTCGACCCGAGATAAAAACTAGCGTTGCTATTTATAATTAAGTTACAATTTTTTCACTGTCATTTACTTTCATCTTTAACCCTTCATCTCTTCCTCCCCCCCCTCCCCCCCCAACTCTCAATGCACCACTAGTTAACAAGCAAGAACTCGCTGGTGTTCAGGAAGTGCAACTATAACAATCATAGGATAATTAAAACTTGTCTTGGTTAAATACATGTAATTCAAGCAATCTATAAACGTATAAAATAGATATATGCCTCGGTTTTGTTTTTATAACAAGGAGTATTTTAGTACAAAAAAGGTAAATATTGAAATATCAAATATTTCACAGCCACGGTATATATAACTGAAGACTGAAACCACACACCAGAATATGAAACGACTTATTTTTTCTGTCCGTCCTGGACCACTATGAAGTCGCTACATAACTGCGATACTTTCGTTCTCATTTGATCTTTATAAACAAACTCCCTTTCTGGGGTAACGTAATTCCACGTATACAAAAATGTGCCCAAGGCTAAACGCTCTTCTCCTTCCTTCCACCTTCCATGGACAAATCTGAGTAAAAACTACGTTGAAAGTTAAGAGTTCTACCACAAAGATGCTTATATTAAACTTCAACCCTGTCTGTCATATGAGGCCACATCTTAAGATTGTCTAAATTTGTCCGACACAAGTCGGCATTTACAGTAACACTTCGAGATTACATTATTGTTCCCTCGAACTGAGTAATAGTTCCTTCAGTCAATTATACCATTTTAAGAACACGGTAATATCCTGGTCACCCGACCCAGGGCACATCTAACACCAATCAGTGCCACTCTGGGATACTTTGTTCACTGGCTTACGTATTGCAGTTTCACAATGACATTGTACAATTAGCTTATTTCCGCATATTGTGAGCCTATTGTGCTGAAACACACTTGATAATTGCATTAGGTTTAATTCAATAGTCACAAAATGAGTAACGTTGAATTCACGTTGATAACGGTAATTTCACGTTGAATTTACGTTGATAACGGTAATTTCACGTTGAATTCACGTTGATAACGGTAATTTCACGTTGAATTCACGTTGATAACGGTAATTTCACGTTGAATTCACGTTGATAACGGTAATTTCACGTTGAATTCACGTTGATAACGGTAATTTCACGTTGAATTCACGTTGATAACGGTAATTTCACGTTGAATTCACGTTGATAACGGTAATTTCACGTTGAATTTACATTACCCTTTAATACCGCCAACACCTTTAAAATCCTAATTTTTTTTCCCCCGCTAACGCCTTTAATGTTCTCGGATCCCTTTAATTTGTTGGTTGGTTTCAACACACTGTAGTTTGTTCCTCACAAGTCGCCGGGATATGTTGGGGAGAAGCTTTAGCAGTTGTCTTGGTATCTGCAGCAGCAGCGGCTTTACTCATCATGGAGTAAACTGCGCCTTTTGTCGACAAATGAGTTAGATTCTGTCCTCGAGTCTTAACCGACGTTGCTTCTGTTGTATTCATTGTCTGATCGACGCCTTTTGACAGCAGTAAAGGAGACATTGATGCTTCTGGCAAATTCTTGAGTAAATCCATGACCTCGAGGAACCCTGGGGCCATCTGCTTCATGCTTCCTTCGTCAGGCTGCTCTTCCCGAAGACCTATTTGGGAGTAAAACAAACGAAATGTTAGAACTAGGAAGAATAACATCGTCTCTGGTTATTTAAGCTTTATGGGTTGATAGTGAACTAGTGAAAAGATTTATGAAGTTCCGTGCTATTGCTAAATGTGTACTAGCGGTGCTGGCATCACGCTCTAGCGTACTAGAGGTGCTGGCATCACGCTCTCGCGTACTAGAGGTGCTGGCATCACGCTCTAGCGTACTAGAGGTGCTGGCATCACGCTCTCGCGTACTAGAGGTGCTGGCATCGTACCCTCACGTACTAGAGGTGCTGGCATCACGCTCTCGCGTACTAGAGGTGCTGGCATCACGCTCTCGCGTACTAGAGGTGCTGGCATCACGCTCTCGCGTACTAGAGGTGCTGGCATCACGCTCTCGCGTACTAGAGGTGCTGGCATCGTGCCCTCACGTACTTGAGGTGCTGGCATCACGCTCTCGCGTACTAGAGGTGCTGGCATCACGCCCTCGCGTACTAGAGGTGCTGGCATCACGCTCTAGCGTACTAGAGGTGCTGGCATCACGCTCTCGCGTACTAAAGGTGCTGGCATCACGCTCTCGCGTACTAGAGGTGCTGGCATCACGCTCTCGCGTACTAGAGGTGCTGGCATCACGCTCTCGCGTACTAGAGGTGCTGGCATCGTGCCCTCGCGTACTAGAGGTGCTGGCATCACGCTCTCGCGTACTAGAGGTGCTGGCATCACGCTCGCGTACTAGAGGTGCTGGCATCACGCTCTCGCGTACTAGAGGTGCTGGCATCACGCTCTCGCGTACTAGAGGTGCTGGCATCACGCTCTCGCGTACTAGAGGTGCTGGCATCACGCTCTCGCGTACTAGAGGTGCTGGCATCACGCTCTCGCGTACTAGAGGTGCTGGCATCACGCTCTCGCGTACTAGAGGTGCTGGCATCGTGCCCTCACGTACTAGAGGTGCTGGCATCACGCTCTCGCGTACTAGAGGTGCTGGCATCACGCTCTCGCGTACTAGAGGTGCTGGCATCATGGTCACTCAGCAATAGTAAGAATTCAAAGCTATATAACTTACCTGGGTTTCAGAATAATGCGAGAAGAGATTACAGTGTGGATAACTTCATGATTGCTCAATTCCGAGAAATAGCTTAGAGCATCATCAATGAACTACATGCTGGTGTAAGTAACCTCTTAACTTTAACCAGCTAATAACTGCTGTCATGACAGAAAACTGAAATGTTTATTGTTTCGTAACCTCGTGGACCCAGATTCTTGACATGTGATAACTCGTTCCTGCCGGGCGCTTGAACTTCAATGTAAGATAAAAAATGCACCTGAATCTTACCTTATCTCCCAAACCTTTATTCTACCCGACTCGTGATTCTTGCAGCTATATACAGACGTGACTTAGGAAGTTAGCAGCTGCAGACCTGCAGACTTAGGAACTTTGTATCCCCCAAGATATAATTTTGGAACCTTGCATCCACAGACCTGGCTTAGAAACCTTAAATCCACAGACCTGGCTTAGAAACCTTGCATCCACAGACCTGATAATGCTGAGGACAGAGACCCGGCAGATGATCCGTCTCCCTCGTAGGCGTAGGCTCGAAGGTCGTCCTTGGCTGGAAGGGAGTCGGAGCCTCTCAGTTCTCTGCCTGCCAACACGCCCCCCACCGGAACCCCAGCACTCACAGACACGACCCCAGCTCCAGGAACACCGGCGCTGACACGGACTCCAGTGGCGTACGGGGTGCTTGGACTCTGGGGAAGTCGCTCCTCTAAAGAAATAATCACAAAAATAGAATGATTGCTGTAACTATCTTTCCCGAAACTACTGTTTTACGGTAGTATTGAGACCCACGACAACTTCCTTGAAGTAACTTTCGTATAGATTAGTATTTTTGTCAAGTGTTGAGTCGGTAAGCTATGCCGGCCTTTAAATCAAATCTAATTCATGATTATCCATTCAAAACTATTATAGCTTTATTTAAATACACAAAAAAATCCACCTTTTCCGATGGAAGTAGCTTGAGCATGAGAGAGTCTGAGATGCAAACACTCCAGGAAAGCCTTGTGTTGATGGTCTCCCTGTTGAATGCAGCGCGTCGCATCCTTGACGTCGACCACGGTGCTGCCCTGGACGGCCCGCCGCCCTGCTCCCGCGCCACGCACCAGCCACTGTCGCCGTAGTCTGACAGAGATCACCACTCCCATCACCACTGTCATGGAGGAAGGGACGCTCAGTGGTCCGGATACGCTCCATTCAACACTACGCTCAACATACTACGCTCTATACAATCTTTGAGCCTTATAAATTGATAATATTTGTGTATACGATTTGTGTGTGGAGGTCTTTAAGAGATCATAAAACTGTGTGATGATATACTGACCCAGAAGTAGTAGTGACACTGTAAGGGCGGCGATGGCCACAGGGGCCGCTAGTGGGTGGCCCGCGGTGGCCACTTCCGTCCACTGGCAATGATCGCCTGTGTGGCCCGGGCCGCAGACACACTGGAAGCCGGGCCGCAGGTTGTAGCAGGAGCCGCCATGCAGGCAGGGCCGCCATGCGCACTCGTCCACGTCCTCACAGGCGCCTCCCACCACCTGCTCTCCTGGACCACAGCTGACCAGGGGGGCACATAGATTGTTACAGTGGACTAAGTCATTCAGTTACACGGTACCATTACTAGCCAGTGTGGCACCACTACTAGCCACTGTGGTGCCATTACTAGCCAGCGTGGCACTATTACTAGCCAATGTGGTGTCATTACTAGCCAGTGTGGCACCATTGTCAAAACAATAGTGTCTGGACGGCAGCAACAACCACTAGGAAATGAGTTCTACAATGAGAATACAGACCACTCACCTGGGAGCCGGTCGGCCGAGCGGACAGCACGCTGGACTTGTGATCCTGTGGTCCTGGGTTCGATCCCAGGCGCCGGCGAGAAACAATGGGCAGATTTTCTTTCACCCTATGCCCTTGTTACCTAGCAGTAAAATAGGTACCTGGGTGTTAGTCAGCTGTCACGGGCTGCTTCCTGGGGGTGGAGGCCTGGTCGAGGACCGGGCCGCGGGGACACTAAAAACCCCGAAATCATCTCAAGATAACCTCAAGATAACCTCAAGATAACTTTTCTATGTATGGTAGATACCGATATTGTAGTTGTGGGACAATGTAAGGGAACGTAGAGCGGTCACGTAGAGAGTAGTAAGTCAGTGTGTTGGGGTGAAGGTCACCTGAACAGATGACCCCACATTTGCCAGTGCGCGACCACACAATACGGCGGGGCGAGGGGGCCCCTTACCGTCTGGCGCTCGATTCAAATCTGTCTTCCACTACACTCCCGCTAAGTCTTAAGAAAACCATTATCTGGAAAGCAACTCGTATCCACTTGGTTGCTCAAACAACCTACAATTACCTTTACTAATATTATCGAGTAATCTGTGCGTATGATATTGCTGAATGCCTGCGCCGGGAGTGAGATGCCTCTTAAGCGGGAGGCAAACATGTTCTCATCAGGGCTCTGTGGACACAGAGAGCCTGGAAAGTTACTCCATCAAATGGCTCCAAAGACCTACCTCCCTCCACCCCCTTCTCTCTCTCTCTCTCTCTCTCTCTCTCTCTCTCTCTCTCTCTCTCTCTCTCTCTCTCTCTCTCTCTCTCTCTCTCTCTCTCTCTCTCTCTCTCTCTCTCTCTCTCTCTCTCTCTCTCTCTCTCTCTCTCTCTCTCTCTCTCTCTCTCTCTCTCTCTCTCTCTCTCTCTCTCTCTCTCTCTCTCTCTCTCTCTCTCTCTCTCTCTCTCTCTCTCTCTCTCTCTCTCTCTCTCTCTCTCTCTCTCTCTCTCTCTCTCTCTCTCACAGCCATACATGAACTCATTTGAATTTCAGCAACCCAAATGTGAAAGCAATCATGAAATGCGAGTTGCAATATGAATATAATTGATTGTTCACGCTCAACATCGGGAACGGCAGTCAGTAGAAGTATTAATGCAACTCTTCCTCAAAACGCTGGTCTTGGCTGGGATGGCCAATATCCACTTTCATTTATTTCCTTGAATAGCATCTCTCAGTGTACGCAATTTTGAGGTGTTAAATGAATAGACGACTTATCATAAATGGAACACACCCTATGTCTGGTCTCCGAATTCACGCCAGATTGTAATGAGGAGCACCCTCCCGCAACCTTAGTTGTGAAGGGGACTGACCTGCAGGTGGCGGTGCCCCAGGTGGAGACACAGGAGAGGGGCGCGTCGCAGGTGGCATTGAGGCAGGCATCAGGGGCGGTGCAGCCAGGCTCCAGACCCTGCCAGCTGGTCACCTGACCCCACCTGCTGCCATTCACAGCTGGTGGCAGCTGCAGCTGACGGCCTGAGACACGTACGTCGTCGATACAGCCTGACAACCAAGACAATATAACAGAGTGTTACCGTACAGGTGATATGAACAGTTACATATACAACCTTTCTGTATTTATGAAAATGCATATAAGGGATATATTAACATATATGTATTTGTATTTATTTATTTATTGAATGTGCTTGATAACACATCAGACTTGAACACTTGATTCAATCTGACGAAGTAGAGAGACTCTTAAGAAGAGAGTAGACCTTTTCAGTAGATGATGTATTGTCTACAAAGACTTTATTAAGAGCAGATTTGATACGTTAAATTTTTTTCTAATCTTGATAATTCTCTACATCGTGGTCAGCACTTCACGCCAAATTTACGAGTTTCATAGAACTGTTGGTGTGTGTGTGTGTGTGTTAGGCGTGGCACTTACTGTTTGTGAGGTCATTCAACACATTGACTACTGCGACGCCCACACGTTCAGGCAGGCCGCCCACACTCACGCCCTCACTTAAGTCGATAGGCGTGAGTGTTTCGCCGCCTCCTTCGTCACCCTCCCGTAGCAAGATGAGGGACTCGTTGCGTCGCCAGAAGTCGCCGTCGTCGACGCTCACCACCAGGTTGGGGCCGTGATGCTCCGCCCTGACGGTGTGCCAGGCGCCGTCACCCACCGGCCGCCCCTCCACGCACGCCGCCCGCGCCGCCCACCCTGCCCCAGACACCGTGGCGCAAACCACGCCACCTCGGAGCTGTTATAAACATAACGGCAAACCAATAATTATACAACTAAGGTTGCGGCGCATGACCTTGGGCCAATACTCTACAACAATAATATTAAAGCAAATAGCACGTTGAAAGCTGTGTAACATCATCCCACTCTGTGAGTTTATAGCGAGTGACGTACATGTAGAGTGAATGCTGAAGAATGCTGACGAGATGCCATGTGCAGCAGAAGGCCCTGACGGGAGCCTCGGGTTCTCAGACGCAGTTGTGCCGTCATCATCTGAGACGCAGGCGTGAAAGAGAGTGCCATCTTCACAAAAGACGAAGGGCCGAAGGTGGCAGGAACTGTGGGCGTGGTGCAGGCGGGTCCCGTCCACCCTGGGTCACACTCACACTCCGGCAGGTTCAAGCCACCCATACACTGGCCGCGGTGTCCACAGCCACCCATGGCTTCCCTGCAGGCTTTATTTTGAGGTCGGCAGCCGCCTGCGGTGTTCCTGCTGTAGGCTGGCTCTCCCAGGTCCACCAGCTGCAATAACACTGCGTGAGAGTTCGCTGAGGTACCGTCTGCTCCCCCAGCGGCTACCTCAGTTATATTGCTTTAGGATGTGTCAATCGGAAGCTTCAACGGGCATAACCTCACCTGACTGTTGAGTGTGAGATGGGAGACACAGCCGTCTAGTGGGCGTGGCGTGGGCGCCTCACGCCATCCGTGGTGGGCGGGGCTAGGAGGCGTGTGTGCCAGTCCTCCTATCTGCAGGGGCCCGGTTCCCAGCCAAGCACTTACGTCTACAGCATCAGTCCAGGACTCTTGAGCCAGGCAGCGGGAGTCGTCCCGTGTGTCGTTGTCCCATCCCTGGAGGTCGCCACACAGGTCCACCATCATCGCTGTACCCTGAACATATTCTTATGTGCGTATTACAATTTAGAGTCAGTTAATATTACCAGTTAATGTAACAATGTGATCCATTCGTGCGAAAGTAACCATGAGGAAAGAGCAAAAAGTACGAGCTTATTAGTATATTAACGCAGAAGCCCTCGTATTACGGATACGGTGAGTTACTTTAATGTAAAGAAGAAGGGTGACAGTGTACCAGTCTCCGCTGTTGACTGTGCCAAATGTGACACTTGACTTGAGTGAGCGGAGACAGTTGTGTGTCGCTCGCTGTTATGGAATGTGAGTGTACCTGACGCTAAAGTTGATGCAACTGTAGACAATGTGACAGCTGACTTACGTGAGCGTGGAGGTGAAGATGGATGGTGTGCCAGTCACCGTCGTTGACTGTGCGGTTGACCTCCAGTTTGAGAGCTTCGGCGCCTCCCTCCAGCAGCAGCTGAGGACGCCCACGCCACACTTGTAGAGCAAGCATGGGCGTGGGTGGGTCGTCCGGGTGGCGTGGGACGGTCGCCAGAGGGCCGGAATAGAGGACGAGGGCGTGGGGACGGCGTGTGAGGAGCCGGAGAGATATGGTGGTAGGGAAGCAGGGAGGCAGCGGGCGGACCCACGCCCACCCGTCGCCTGTGAAGGTGCGGGCCAGCACTTTGCACCGCGCCCCCCACGACCCTTCTGGACACACGCACCTGCACAATGCCAAACAGTTCCGTATTGTTTACCGTGACTGATAACCTACAGAACACTTTGAATTTTGTTCATGTATTTATATCCATGTTATCTTGCATCACACACACACACACACACACACACACACACACACACACACACACACACACACACACACACACACACACACACACACACAAACACACATAACGTGAGGAACAGCACGATGCGGGGACTATGATGGAAACTATTGACACAAATGAGTCACACAGATATAGAAAAAATTACTTCAATTTCAAAACAACATCTTTCATTCATCCTCTCCTATCTGTATGCTACCCTTGGGGGAGTTACGAGGTACTTGGTACCCCTGGGGGAGTTACGAGGTACTTGGTACCCCTGGGGGAGTTACGAGGTACTTGGTACCCCTGGGGGAGTTACGAGGTACTTGGTACCCCTGGGGTAGTTACGAGGTACTTGGCACCCCTGGGGGTGGTTACAAGGTACCTGGCACCCCTGGGTGGAGTTACAAAGTACGTGACTCCCCTGGGGGAGTGTGCCTTCGGCGGCCTGCTACCTTTTACCGCCAGGAGAGCCGACACAGCGGCCACCGTTGAGGCAAGAGGTTGGCGTGCAAGTCTCCGGGTCGTGGGCGTGGCAGGCGTGGGTGTGGGCGAGGAGCGGGGTGACCAGCGACGTGACGTTGGTGTCGATCACCTGCAAACCAGGAAAGCAGACACAATATAACACCTGTTTACCTGTATTACGTGTGCGTCGCTGCGTCTACCTTCATTGTGTGTGTGTGCGTGTGCGTGAGTGGGTGTGTGTGTGTGTGTGTGTGTGTGTGTGTGTGTGTGTGTGTGTGTGTGTGTGTGTGTGTGTGTGTGTGTGTGTGTGTGTGTGTGTGTGCGTGTGCGTGAGTGTGTGTGCGTGTGCGTGAGTGGGTGTGTATGTGCTCTCTTGTCTATGTGCAAGTGTGAAAACATGAATATGCATTCGAGTGTATGGGTCTAGCCAATACACTTGAGTGCATGCGTCTAGCGATTCTATATTTATTCAAGAGAGCATCTGGAATGTATTTGTATATCAATGTGCATGTTGAAGGTGTGTACCCGGTAGGCGTAAATCATAACTATATTCCTATTCGGTCGTAAGCGTATCTGGCAATCCTTTATGAATACATCACGACTTGCAGATTATATATATAGCTTAAAACAACATGTATTTTAAAATCCCTGACAAAATAATCTAATTTAAATATTCCTTTAATTACTCATGGTTTGCGACAGGTGCCTTGCTTCAGTGTGTGTTCAGGACGGGGCGGACAGACAGACAAACTCACACTCACATATGCAGACGGTGGTAACTAGTTAAAGTGAAATGGTGTCAGTAGCTTCAAGGCGTCATTATGAGAGACATCACCGTAAAGACGGGACACCACGAGCGTAGCTCTCATCCTGTAACTACACTTAGGCAATTACACACACACACACACCCTTGCCTTAGCATTACCTGGAGAGGGAGTGTGGTGGAGGCGCGAGAGGCGGCCGAGGAAGGGTCGGGAGGGCCAGAGTGATGGAGAGTGTGGTGGAGGGCCGGGTCTTCCTGAAGGCCGTCAGCCCCTCCACCAGACCCAGTGGTCGGGGACTCAATTACCACCTTCAGATTGGTGGCCGCCTCTATCTGTGCACACATCGTGGAGAATAATATATTGATATTGAGATTTATACAGTACTCTAACCCTCATATAGTGTCATAGTGTTAGTGCACTAACATAGTATATGTTATATATATATATATATATATATATATATATATATATATATATATATATATATATATATATATATATAAAACGGGATAATGAGGAGCCTTCCTCGTGAGCGCACCTGGTGAGAGTGAAGGGCCAGGAGGCCCAGCAGCTTGATCGGGTCCATGAAGCTCTCAGCCGGCTGCTCCCTCACACTCACCCACACGCAGGCGGACGAGGCTTGACTGATGGGGCGCACCCAATTTGTGGTCGTAACATGAATGGCGTGCGGGCGGGGGCTTGTATATGGCGAGGAGTGGGTTGGGTGGTGAGGGCGGGAGCGGTCCCGGTGGGTGTAGACGCTCACCACCTCCACAGTGTGGGCGGCCTCGCCCACCACCCTCAGCACACCTTGTATCACTCGTCCCAGGCCGCCCCCACCCAGCTGTACAACACACACACACAACAAACAAAGTTATTTGCAGAAATTTTCCTTATAAGTTCAACAACCATTAACTGGGTATTATAGAGATTAGAATTATTTCACAGTGAGTCTTATCAACATTTGCAGACAAGAGACATTCCTTTCATAGTTAAATAAAAAAGTTATCAGGCATCTGACCTCTGGCGTCCATCCCCTGGCGAGGTGGGCGGGAGTGGTGGGCGTGAGGGTGATGGGCGCGGCGTGGGCAAGGGCGTCGGGCGTCAGTATCCTCACAGCCACAGTCACGTTGGCCTCTACGTCTCGCTGACCCCACAGCTGATCACTCACAGCAAACTGCAGCTCATACCTGTAAATGTGATGTTGAGCCATGGTCTGCGGGGCTCCAGCGTGACGCCCACACAACACACAGGGTTGTGTGGGCGTGGTTTATACAGAGAGAGACGCCCACACAACACACAGGGTTGTGTGGGCGTGGTTTATACAGAGAGAGACGCCCACACAACACACAGGGTTGTGTGGGCGTGGTTTATACAGAGGGAGACGCCCACACAACACACAGGGTTGTGTGGGCGTGGTTTATACAGAGAGAGACGCCACACAACACACAGGGTTGTGTGGGCGTGGTTTATACAGAGAGAGACGCCCACACAACACGCAGGGTTGTGTGGGCGTGGTTTATACAGAGAGAGACGCCCACACAACACACAGGGTTGTGTGGGCGTGGTTTATACAGAGAGAGACGCCCACACAACACACAGGGTTGTGTGGGCGTGGTTTATACAGAGAGAGACGCCCACACAACACACAGGGATGTGAGTGTGGTTTACCACCGGCTCGTTACATAATAGTTTTCTCACTGTAGTTTAATTTTGAATTATCTATTATATCCTAATGTCAGGCCCATGCAATCAAATGTTGTTCCTGATCGAAACTACATCCTAGCATACTGAATACTGAGGCAGCCCTCAAAGAGAACCGTCCCATACCATACAGCTCCTCCCCCTCTGGCCTCTGGCGACACCAGAGATGGTGTCCCAGCTTAAGTACTGGTATGTGTTTCAGCCATGTCTTGTGGGACACTGCTGGGGTTCGAAATGAAGGGTGTATGTGCCCCCACTTCTCGTGCCCTCTGCCTGACTGATACCCTCGTACCCGGGGACTTGTCCATGCTCAACCCGTTCTCGCACTTTCTTACAGTCAATATTGACTTATTTAATACGTGCATATGTGACATACTAAACATACTAGTTTACCTTGAATAGCTTCATAGAAAATACCGACCTTACCTAACCTTCTTAGTATGATAAAATAAGCATCTTATTGCTTCGTAATTACAATTATTAATTAACCTATACCTATAATAGGTTAAGTAATACCTATAATAGGTTAAGTAATACCTATAATAGGTTAAGTAATAATTGTAATTACGAAACAATAAGATGCTTACAATTATTACTTAACCTATACCTATAATAGGTTAAGTAATACCTATAATAGGTTAAGTAATAATTGTAATTACGAAGCAATAAGATGCTTATCTTAACATACTAAGAAGGTTAGGTAAGGTCGGTGTTTTCTATGAAGCTTTTCAAAGTAAACTAGTATGTTTAGTATGTCACATATGCACGTATTTAATAAGTCAATATTGACTTTACGAAAGTGCGAGAACGGGTTGCCATGCTTTACCCCTCCGGGACACTGATGGTGTCCCGGCCGAGACCCGCCATCACTCTCCCACATCTTGACGCGCTCTCGGCCCCAACTCTTGATTTCCTTTTTTTTCTTATCGTGTCGAATAATATATATACGAAGATAAATCTTTTCAACTGCACAATTTATATTATATTTATATTCATGTTTTGGATTGCGTCTCTCTGACTTGTTATCAAGGTCTATATCTCTGCTTTTCTTGTGTTTCACTTCCTACATCTCACAATTTCTTCCCAGTTCCTTAGCTGCCTGAAACATTCCGTCTCACTGTCATCTTTCACTTGCGTCTCCATTAATCCCAATTTTCTTTTCTATCTCCCTCACTTACTTTTCATGTGATTTTGCCGTCTCCTCGCTTACTTCCCCCCCCTCCCGCTCCAAACAGCCTCCATACCCCTAAACCCCCAAACCCCCATCTTACCAGGGGGGACCCATACCTCCAGTACCGTCCCGCAATACCCCCTCCCGCCCCACCACTTCTCTAGACAGCGTCCATGATTAATGCAGGAGACTGCTCGCCTCTGGATTAATTCCTCCTCCGCAGCAGACGATACTCTTGCTCCATTAATCAGGGGGCACTCAAGACACAACGACCTTCATTAATAACCCAGTTTTTCTCCAGCCTGTCTCCCTCTCTGTCCACAGTCACTGCCACGGTGTGTTGGTTATCATAGCCGTGGAGTATTGGCTATCACAGCCACGGTGTACTTGCTATCACTGCCACGGTGCGTTGACTATCACAGTAACGGTGTGTTGGCTATCACAGCCACGGTGTGTTGGCTATCACAGCCACGGTATGTTAGCTATAATAGTCGTGGTGTATTGGCTATCACAGCCGTGGTGTACTTGCTATCACTGCCACGGTGCGTTGGCTATTACAGCCACCGTGTGCTAGCTATCATAGCCGCGTTGTATTGGCTATCACAGCCGTGGTGTACTTGCTATCACAGCCACGGTGTGTTGGCTATCACAGCTATGGTGATAGCTATGACCATCACTGTCACTCCTCTGTCACAGGTATCCTGTCACTGCTACAGGTGACACGTCACGTCACACTATCGACACAACTGACAACACCACTCCCAGGCTGCCAACACTAGTCTCTGGCTGCAAACACCGCGTTTCCAGGGCTACCAACACCGCTCCGATTCTGCCAACACCATCGGTGCCTCTCACCAATGAGGAGCGTCTTTAACCCCCAACTGGAGATCACAAATTTACTCAACAAAAGTTCGAGGCTCGGTAATGGAGTCAAAATGCTGGCAGGGGGCCAAGTAGGAGGCTTGCAGCGGCTCTGGGTGGGTGGGAGGCAGGTGAGAGCTAAAGGCAGGCTGCTGGCGGTAGCGTGAGTGGGTGGGCTGCTGGTGGCAGCGTGAGTGGGTGGGCTGCTGGTGGCAGCGTGAGTGGGCGGGCTGCTGGCGGTAGCGTGAGTGGGTGGGCTGCTGGTGGCAGCGTGAGTGGGCGGGCTGCTGGTGGCAGCGTGAGTGGGTGGGCTGCTGGTGGCAGCGTGAGTGGGTGGGCTGCTGGTGGCAGCGTGAGTGGGGGTGGGCTGCTGGTGGCAGCGTGAGTGGGTGGGCTGCTGGTGGCAGCGTGAGTGGGCGGGCTGCTGGTGGCAGCGTGAGTGGGTGGGCTGCTGGTGGCAGCGTGAGTGGGTGGGCTGCTGGTGGCTGCGTGAGTGGGTGGGCTGCTGGTGGCAGCGTGAGTGGGTGGGCTGCTGGTGGCAGCGTGAGTGGGTGGGCTGCTGGTGGCAGCGTGAGTGGGCGGGCTGCTGGTGGCTGCGTGAGTGGGCGGGCTGCTGGTGGCAGCGTGAGTGGGTGGGCTGCTGGCGGTAGCGTGAGTGGGCGGGCTGCTGGTGGCAGCGTGAGTGGGTGGGCTGCTGGTGGCAGGGTGAGTGGGCAGGTTGCTGGTGGCAGTTTTGAGTCAGTAGGAACGTTGCTGACGACGTCGCTTGCTAACGGCAGACTTCTGGCAACCTAACTACACTGTTGCCTACTAAAAGCAAAGGAACCTGAATGACACAAACAGGAGAGCAGGCACGTCCAACACCTACGTCCTTCCTAGTAACCAAAATTAATAAATACAAACAGAGCCAGATTCTAACAATAAAAATAATCTTCAAATCATAAGAACGAAGGCGAGCATGAAAGGTCGTTTCCGCATCAAATGAAATTACGAACCAGTATCATTTTGAACCTCTCATTCCGGGCTCTCACTAGACAGTACACATCAGGCGGGACCAAAGAGCCAGAGCTCAACCCCCTGCAAGCACAACTAGGTGAGTACACCGGGCTATCACGGGTCAATATGTACCCGGCCATCTTACAAGATGCAACTGGGAAATAGGTGAACACAGAGACTGGAAATGTATCTTCTGCCAAACAATCACAAAAAAGAAACACTACTTCATTATCTCCTGGAATTTGAAGCAACCAATGACCTTAGAAGAGGACTGACAGTCCCTGAGGAGAGTCAGAAGAGAACAGACAGACCACATAAGGACTGTCAGTTTTAATGCTGGCTCAGGACATAGTATATCCTTTCACGACCAAAGATCACATTCACTCCCTAAAATCTACCACTTACGGACTACTCATGCCCATGCCACCTTTTGGGTGGATTAATCTTTATCAATTAATCCGCAGCGTCCGAGGCCCAGAAGCCCTTCAAGATGTTATACGATTAAAGATCACATTTACTCCCAACATCTACCACCTATGGGCTATATACTCCTGCCTGTCCCACCTCTTGTGGTGGCTTAATCTTCATCAATCAATCAATCACCCGGCCATCACTGGACAATAAACACCCGGCCATCACTAAACAATATACCTCCGGCCACCAATAGACACAATCAGTAGCGTTTATTCCTAAGAAGGAATGTGCTCGGAGTCCTGGTCGACGACCGGGCCGCGGGGTCGCTAAGTCCCGAAATCATCTCAATATAACATCTCAAGGTAACAATATAAAAATTATACAGAGCATTCTGCATTTATATATGGTCACAGATTCTCAAACAGCATTTGTCGCTTGAAAATCTGTCCCTCAAATACGCAAAATTGCATTTGCAATAACCAGTTCTATCCTCTTACAGAATAAAATGTAAAATTGCCAGACGTTAGAAAAATGAAACAAACTTGTCTTACTCCTTTTTTTTTTTTTTTTGCAAAACCGTGTAAATAAAGTTCAGACCAAACTTGTACGTTGTGGAAAGCATTCTGATGCTGGAATGTCCCCTTTAATAATATTTGCTATTATTACTGAGTATAGTTAATATCTGCTAGAAATTTGGACAACACAAGCCTGGCGCTCTCCCTGGTCCTCTCCTGGTAGTGGTAAGGACCGGCAACATTACCAGTTCATTAAAATCAATGATAAATTCACATCCGTAAATAATAATTATCTTACCTCTTTTCTGCCTCACAGTTTCATAGACTATTAGACTCATTATCATTGTACTTAAATGATAACATTAACATTTTGGAATAATTTAATAAATTAATAATGATACACATTTTTTGTTCTCGAATCCGTTAGATATTGTTATGGAAGAGATAATATTACCGTAAGTCTATTGTCATAGATATTGAGTCTATGTCAACACTCAACTTAAGAAATTTCGTTGACTTTCAGGTGGAATGAGACGCTGCACGCATTCATTTAGATTTATTACTCAAAAACTGAAAATGCAGTTGCAGTGTGCAAAAAATGTATTGTTGGGAATGTCTTCTGTTTTCAAATGATAAAAGTGTGTGAAATACGCACGGATATAAAGGTTTGTCAAATATACAGACTCACCGTTACGGGCTATTCATGCCCGTGCCACCACTTAATCTTAATTAAGGTGAGGTGGCTTAATCTTCATGAATCAGACTCGGTGCATGATCTTCAGAGCATGCTAGAATTTTACAGCAAAGTTGCTGATCATTTTGCTCGTAAGGTAAAGTAAACGAAATGTTTATTTCCACGAAAGTGTGGATGACAATCTATATATATATATATATATATATATATATATATATATATATATATATATATATATATATATATATATATATATATATATATATATATATATATATATATATGGTTTAGTGCATAGCACTTGGAAGGAATATGAGGATAAGAATTTGGGATAGAACGAAGGTAAGGAATGGTGCCCAACCACTTGGGCGGTCGGGGGATATGAACGCCGACCTGCTAAAAGTGAGACCGACGCTCTACCGTCCAGTCCAAGAATATTATATGAATCAAATGGTAAGTAAAAATAATTGTTTATGTTACTGCTTTCTATTGTATGTTAAACGAAATAAAAAAGTATCAATATTCATACTTCAGCTTCATCAGAAACTCTTAAGCGTCATTTACTTACGCGGCAACATTTCTGTCACAACACACCTCTGGATACTACACACCAGGGTACCACTGGGCAATACACACCAAGCCACCAGTGGACATAATACACCAGGGTATCACTAGACATTACACACCAGGCTATCACTGCAGTTCATGAAGTTAACAGTGATAAAAGTTGGAGTTATATTCTCATTGTACAGACTTTCTTGGGTCTTTATATGCTTTTATGAGACTACAGCAGCTTGCAAATTATTAAGTTCTAAGCGATAGCTGAGCATTCTCAACTATTAAAAAAACTGATATTTATAGTGACTTGCATTTACAAGACATTCATGTCGTCTTAACGCGTGTGGTTGATGGACAGTTTTCAGTTTTATCAAGAATGTCAGCTGTTTTCATACAGGTCAGCTGTTTTCATACAGGTCAGCTGTTTTCATACAGGTCAGCTGTTTTCATACAGGTCAGCTGTTTTCATTCAGGTCAGTTGTTTTCATACAGGTCAGCTGTTTTCATACAGGTCAGCTGTTTTCATACAGGTCAGCTGTTTTCATACAGGTCAGCTGTTTTCATACAGGTCAGCTGTTTTCATACAGGTCAGCTGTTTTCATACAGGTCAGCTGTTTTCATACAGGTCAGCTGTTTTCATACACGTCAGCTGTTTTCATACAGGTCAGCTGTTTTCATACAGGTCAGCTGTTTTCATACAGGTCAGCTGTTTTCATACAGGTCAGCTGTTTTCATACAGGTCAGCTGTTTTCATACACGTCAGCTGTTTTCATACAGGTCAGCTGTTTTCATACAGGTCAGCTGTTTTCATACACGTCAGCTGTTTTCATACAGGTCAGCTGTTTTCATACAGGTCAGCTGTTTTCATACAGGTCAGCTGTTTAGTATTTTAGTTCATTTATGCACATCTTGTATATTAATGGGGAATATTTTAACGGCTTGTGAGGAACCCTCTCATTGTAGTGAGGGGTTCATCATATTGTCAATGCAGTAACTCGTATATTTGAGCGTTAAGTACAAGCTAAATATAGAATTATCACTTATTCGAAAATATTCGATTGCCGAATAATAAATATCCCATCCCTCCGGCAATGCAGGTACATGTAGCATGTGTCTCTCTCCTGGTCACAGCTCGACACTGTTCACGCAAACTTTCTGCGTGAGTCTCTTCATAAAGCAGAAGCTATCTTGGGTAACTTCATTTTCCTGACTTCAGCTTCTAACTTGGCGGACACAGTCTGCCGCCAGAAAGTTATGATTTTTCCCAGACTTATTTATCTCAGTTTTTTTTTTATATATCGTTCGTAGCATCATCTGACCACGGAATATAAGGAATTATATTTCCCTGTGTACGGCGCAAAGTATTTTCTTAATATTTCATGAAATGTTTAGAACGTCTCGATACTGGTATCAAACGCGCGTGTCAAGTAAACAGTAATGGATTCTCACGTAAGTGGAGCTCGAGGAAAAGCAGACGGTGACGGAGACTTACCTGGCCTCCCTCACCTGGCTGGAGGCGAACAGGTCACCAGTGTTGGTGTTGAGGGAGAAGAGCGGGTGTGGGGACCCCAGCCAGCGGAACGTCTTGTCCCCAAGGTCCCAGTCGTCCGGGTCGTCCACGAACACCCGGCCCAGCGGTGCGTCCGACCCGCCGCCCTGCACGAGACGAGAAAACCCATTATAAACCAAGGAGACAGCCATAATATGAGTAATTAAGGGAATGTGAAATTTGATGCATGTGAGAGAAGACATGAAAGTGAATGTGGACAAAGGTAAAATTATTGCACTTTAGAGACAATTATGAATTATCAGGAGAAAATCCTAAGCCATTAACCTAATATAGCACTTGGAAGTGATGAGGATAAGGATTTGGGATTGGACGGAGGAAAGAATTATTGCCAGTAAGCGGCCGATGAGCATAAATACCTGAGATCTGAACATGCTAAATCAGAAATTTGTATAAAGTTGAGAACAGGATCAATCGGGAAAGGAAAGTAGCTGGTGCAATGATTGCTTTGGTTAAGGAAAGTAAAATAATAGATGCGGCCAGACGCTTGCATGAAGAAGCAGTAGCGCCGTCGCCTATGTATGCTTACGAGACGTTGGTGTTAAACCAGTATATGTGATATTAGGAAAGAACATAGAGGTAGGTATAAAAATAAATAAAAAATAGCACGATTGAGTAGAGGCGGAGTGTAACTGAAGGACAAGAAGAGGCAAGAATACTAAGCTATTGTTTGACTGGCCCAGCATCTGCAAGTTAATCATCTTTTTCTTGGGCAACGTTTTAGGAGAATTCCCACCTGGGTCTTCCAGAGGTAGACGGTCTTGGCTCCAGGCTTCATGGGGTTGTCGTTGATGTCGTCGACGATGACTGTGACTGTGTGGGTGGCGGACACCCCGCCCGCGTCAGCCACCACCACCCCCACCAGCAGCTGACGGTGCTCCTCTCTGTCCACGGGGCCCACTGTCCATACCTCGGCCCCGCCTCGACCACTGTCCAGGTCTGCCAAGGTGAGATTGCTGGAGAAGCAAAGTGACTAGCAACGTTCCCAAGACACCAAGGAGGGAAAAAAACAGGTAACGCATTTTCGATAAAGAAAGCATAAATAATAATTTTAAATTCTTATAAGTTTTCTTTCCTACTTTTCAACAAAAAATGGCTTCTAATCCAAAGTATTTTTGATAATGAAAGTTTTTAACTTGGAAGTTGGAATACTACTGGCTTCCTTTAGTGGTGGCCAGGGAAGGTATAAAGGGCAACTCGAGAGGTAGTTTAGGCACTTCTTGGCTCCTTCCCATTATTGGCACTGTGATCTAGTGGCAAGGCTTCCGCCCTCCCACCATACAGATCAAGAGTTTTCTTTCCCAAAGGTTCAGGTGAAAAAAAAGGTTTATTCTTACGATAGGGATTCACTAATTTGTATGACGTGCATATTGTGCTGGAACAATTCCTTCAGTTAAGTTAGAAATACTGTAGAGACCGTTGCGAAATGCTGATTTACACATAGAAGAAATGAAATGCGAGGCTGTAGAGGGAGGGTAGTTGAGGTCTGTAGAGGTAGGATAGACAAGTACTGTAGAGGCAGGGTAGACGAGGGAGGATAGAAGAGGGCTGTAGACACTCCCAGTGATAGGAATTGCTTCTTGTAATGCGTAAAATCCAAGGGAATATCTTGGGTTGTTCCATTAAATACAAACAAATATCATTTAACCGTATTGACGAAGCGACAGACCTGCTTTCCACCACTGGACAGTTGTCACGAGCACCTTGACGAACACAAACCAGCAATTAACGTCATATTATCGTTCGTATAAACAATCCGGATAACAATGGAAGAAAATTTTAAGTACTCACGAGGGTCGAACTTGAGCGAGATGTGGGCGAGGACGTGGGCGGGGTTTGTGGGCGCCAAGGAGAAGTTGAAGGGCGGGCCGTGCCCCAACGCCCACACGTCGTGGTCGGTGGCAGTGAGGGCGCCCAGGAGCGTGGGCGCGGCGCCCTCGGTCACATGGAAGAGTGTGGGCGGGAGGAGGACGGGCGGACTGTCGTTGACGTCGGTGACTGTGATGGTGAGGGTGGCAGTGGCAGTGAGGGGCGGCCGCCCGTGGTCCACGCCCACGATCTTGGCTACGCCTATAGCTCCGTCCGGAGCCTCGCGATCCAGGGCGCGACGCAAGCTCACTCCTCCCTCAGAGTCCACACTGAGGGCGCCCCACGCCCCCTCCACACGGTACTCCACACCCTCCTCTCCACCCTGGAAAAAAAACGGCAAACAATATGGCTGCTCGTGTGATACGCAGGGACATTCTACCATAAATTTTGTCACAAAAGCGTTCTCATCATGTTAGAGTGGTGGGTGTACTCACCATGTCAGGATTGTGGGCGTACTCACCATATCAGGGTCGTGGGCGTTCTCACCGTGTCAGGCGGGTGGGCGTACTCACCATATCAGGGTTGTGGGCGTTCTCACCGTGTCAGGATTGTGGGCGTACTCACCATATCAGGGTCGTGGGCGTTCTCACCGTGTCAGGCGGGTGGGTGTACTCACCATATCAGGGTTGTGGGCGTTCTCACCGTGTCAGGCGGGTGGGCGTACTCACCATATCAGGGTCGTGGGCGGGGAGGGCGGCCAGGAGAGTGCCGGGGGCGGCATCCTCCTTGACAGTAACGTGGGCGTGCAGACGGTGGAAGTGAGGCGGGTTGTCGTTGAGGTCCCTCAGGCGGACGGTGACCCAGGCGGCGTCCATGTGACGGGGGTCCCTCCACCCCCCGCGACCCTGGCGGGAGACAGACACTCAGCACCAACACTGTTGTTACAGTGTAACTCTGCCCCTGTTCTAACAGTGTAACCCTGCCCCTGTTGTTACAGTATAACTCTGCCCCTGTTGTTACAGTGTAACCTGCCCCTGTTGTTACAGTGTAACCCTGCCCCTGTTGTTACAGTGTAACCCTGCCCCTGTTGTTACAGTGTAACCTTGCCCCTGTTACAGTATAACCCTGCCCCTGTTGTTACAGTGTAACCTTGCCCCTGTTGTTACAGTATAACCCTGCCCCTGTGGTTACAGTGTAACCTTGCCCCTGTTACAGTATAACCCTGCCCCTGTTGTTACAGTGTAACCTTGCCCCTGTTGTTACAGTATAACCCTGCCCCTGTTGTTACAGTGTAACCCTGGCCCTGTTGTTACAGTGTAACCCTGCCCCTGTTGTTACAGTGTAACCCTGCCCCTGTTGTTACAGTATAACCCTGCCCCTGTTACAGTGTAACCCTGCCCCTGTTGTTACAGTATAACCCTGCCCCTGTTGTTACAGTGTAACCCTGCCCCTGTTGTTACAGTATAACCCTGCCCCTGTTGTTACAGTGTAACCCTGCCCCTGTTGTTACAGTGTAACCCTGCCCCTGTTGTTACAGTATAACCCTGCCCCTGTTGTTACAGTATAACCCTGCCTCTGTTGTTACAGTGTAACCCTGCCCCTGTTGTTACAATATAACCCTGCCCCTGTTGTTACAGTGTAACTCTGCCCCCGTTGTTACAGTGTAACCCTGCCCCTGTTGTTACAGTATAAAATCCTTTTAACCTTACATGTGGCTGTGAGAGGCAACGGTGCTTCTTCTGAAATCTTCAGCATCAGTTCTGTATTATGCGCTGTATCGGAGATTATGTCGTCGAAGAAGATGAATATGTCATCGAGGATGATGAATATGTTGTTGACGAAGATGATTATGTCGTTGAGGAAGAGGATTATGTCATTGAGGAAGATGATTATGTCGTTGAGGAAGATGATTATGTCGTTGAGGAAGATGATTATGTCGCTGAGGAAGATGATTATGTCGTTGAGGAAGATGATTATGTCGTTGAGGAAGATGATTATGTCGTTGAGGAAGATGATTATGTCGTTGAGGAAGATGATTATGTCGTTGAGGAAGATGATTATGTCGTTGAGGAAGATGAATATGTCGTTGAGGAAGATGATTATGTCGTTGAGGAAGATTATTATGTCGTTGAGGAAGATGATTATGTCGTTGAGGAAGATGATTATGTCGTTGAGGAAGATGAATATGTCGTTGAGGAAGATGATTATGTCGTTGAGGAAGATGATTATGTCGTTGAGGAAGATGATTATGTCGTTGAGAAAGATGATTATGTCGTTGAGGAAGATGATTATGTCGTTGAGGAAGATGATTATGTCGTTGAGGAAGATGAATATGTCGTTGAGGAAGATGATTATGTCGTTGAGGAAGATGATTATGTCGTTGAGGAAGATGATTATGTCGTTGAGGAAGATGATTATGTCGTTGAGGAAGATGATTATGTCGTTGAGGAAGATGATTATGTCGTTGAGGAAGATGATTATGTCGTTGAGGAAGATGAATATGTCGTTGAGGAAGATGATTATGTCGTTGAGGAAGATGATTATGTCGTTGAGGAAGATGAATATGTCGTTGAGGAAGATGATTATGTCGTTGAGGAAGATGATTATGTCGTTGAAGAAGATGATTATGTCGTTGAGGAAGATGAATATGTCGTTGAGGAAGATGATTATGTCGTTGAGGAAGATGATTATGTCGTTGAGGAAGATGATTATGTCGTTGAGGAAGATGATTATGTCGTTGAGGAAGATGATTATGTCGTTGAGGAAGATGATTATGTCGTTGAGGAAGATGATTATGTCGTTGAGGAAGATGATTATGTCGTTGAGGAAGATGATTATGTCGTTGAGGAAGATGATTATGTCGTCGAGGAAGATGATTATGTCTCACAATAATATGTGACGAGCTCCTGCGAGCGTGTCAGCATGACTAACTTTGCTCAGGACTAAAGTATAATTACTAGTTGGTCAGTAAAGTTGTCATGGTCACAGCTGTCACTCACCTGGACCGTGCACCTGTCATCATGGTCACAGCTGTCACTCACCTGGACCGTGCACCTGTCACCATGGTCACAGCTGTCACTCACCTTGTCAGTCACCTGGACCATGAACCGGAAACCCCGGCGGTGAGTCTCGTCCTCGTAGTCGAGCGTCTGTCTGGCGAAGAGCTGCCCTTCGGCGCCCACCGTCCTGACGCCGAAGTGTTCCCATCCCCAACCACTCGCCTCCACCACCTGCCGCAGAGATGACCACACCTGTTAACTCCTTCAGGAGATACTGGACATCACACGAGGGCAAGAGTGTATATATATATATATATATACAAGTGCGTCATCCAGCACAAGTGCCTCACCCAGGAGAAGTGCCTCACCCAGGAGAAGTGCCTCACCCTGTAGAAGAAGTAGTTGGATGTGTCACTGTCGAGGACGGAGAGGTGGAGGAGGGTGGAGTTGTCTGGGGGACCTTGGCCCCGGGTCTCGTCGGTCTCCAGGTCCCAGAGTGAGTGTTCCAGTCTGGGACAGTTGTCGTTGACGTCCACCAGCCGCACCACCACCACGCCCGTCCCTGTAGCGAGGAGGAGGAGGACGACCTCTCTCAGCCTTCTGCTCTGGCCACACTTACACTCCCATACACCCACACACACACACACACACACACACACACACACACACACACACACACACACACACACACACACACACACACACACACACACACACACACACACACACACACACACACACACACACACACACACACACACACACACTCACACACACACACACACACACACACACACACACACACACACACACACACACACACACACACACACACACACACACACACAGAGGGTATCGATTCATCCCGGAGGGTATCGATTCATTTCTCTCAATGTTTGCGGACGATGCTAAAATTATGAGAAGGATTAAAACAGAAGAGGACTGTTTGAGGCTTCAAGAAGACCTAGACAAGCTGAAGGAATGGTCGAACAAATGGTTGTTAGAGTTTAACCCAACCAAATGTAATGTAATGAAGATAGGTGTAGGGAGCAGGAGGCCAGATACAAGGTATCATCTGGGAGAGGAAATTCTTCAGGAGTCAGAGAAGGAAAAAGACTTGGGGGTTGATATCACGCCAGACCTGTCTCCTGCAGCACATATCAAGCGGATAACATCAGCGGCATATGCCAGGCTGGCCAACATACGAACGGCATTCAGAAACTTGTGTAAAGAATCATTCAGAACTTTGTATACCACATATGTCAGGCCAATCCTGGAGTATGCAGCCCCAGCATGGAGTCCATATCTAGTCAAGGATAAGACTAAACTGGAAAAGGTTCAAAGGTTTGCCACCAGACTAGTACCCGAGCTGAGAGGTATGAGCTACGAGGAGAGACTACGGGAATTAAACCTCACTTCGCTGGAAGACAGAAGAGTTAGGGGGGACATGATCACCACATTCAAGATTCTGAAGGGGATTGATAGGGTAGGTAAAGACAGTCTATTTAACACAAGGGGAACACGCACAAGGGGACACAGGTGGAAACTGAGTGCCCAAATGAGCCACAGAGATATTAGAAAGAACTTTTTTAGTGTCAGAGTGGTTGACAAATGGAATGCATTAGGAAGTGATGTGGTGGAGGCTGACTCCATACACAGTTTCAAGTGTAGATATGACAGAGCCCGATAGGCTCATGAATCTGTACACCTGTTGATTGACGGTTGAGAGGCGGGACCAAAGAGCCAGAGCTCAACCCCCGCAAACACAACTAGGTGAGTACACACACACACACACACACACACACACACACACGCGCACTCTTACACATACACCCCCCCGCTCTCACAACTGCACTCACTCACATCCTCTTACACATACAAATACACCTCCTCTCACAAGGAAAGGATTTTTAGTATAGAGGGGGAACACATCGATACTATATAAGTGAAGCTCAAAACAGCGTAAGAGACATTAGTGTGTGGTCAGTGTACGGGCTGTGAACGACTGGAATGAGCTAGAGAAGAATGGTGGGGTTGGCTAACTCAATTCACGGTTTCTGCTATAAAGAGGAAAGAGTACAAGATAGTCAAGTGCTGTTGTACCATCAGTAATCGCCCATGAAACCGTCAACACTCACCCTTCACGCCGCTACCGTCAACACTCACCCTTGAGGCCGCCACCATCTACCGCCACCACCTGGATCTCGTACTCTGGAGTGGTTTCCCTGTCCAGGCAGCAGATGGCGGTGCGGATGAGGCCTGTGGCTGGATGCACGGAGAAGATGGGCTCTCCCGTGGGCTCATAGACGACGTTCTTGGCTATGGAGTAGGTGATCCTGGCGTTGGTGCCCTCAGAGATGTCGTCAGCGTCCCAGGCAGCGATGACGGCCACTGACAGGTCTGGAGGGTAGAAGGAAAACATTTCAGTAACCTCCCTGGGGCAGACGGTGACACAAAGAATGGTAAGGGACAAACTTGAAGGTTTTATTGTACTGAAAACTGTTGATAGGTAGAGTAAGCAATGTAACAAAACTTGTTTATAAATCATTTGATAATTTTTATTAACAGTTTCCCATTGTTGGGACCCGGAAGCCGGATAGACTTAGAGAAGCTCTCTAGCTCCAACGACAGACTTTTCTCAGGATGCAAACCCATAACAGTTAACAGTAAGTTGGCACTTGAAAGTTAATTATGTAAGTACCCGGAGGCTTCTGACGAAAGGAAAGGTGCTCAAACAACTTGCTCTGCTCGGACATCGAACTCAGAATCGGTCAACAGCTGACTTCGCTAACACTTGTACTACAGACCACAGAGTTACCATGGATTTACATATCAAAAGACGTCCAGAAATACCACATATTTTTTTAAGTCGGTTCTTTGTAATATGTTATATCCGAGTACATTTTTCAGCATTTCCTAAATTTTGTTTGCATTAAAGACTTTGATTAACTAAATGTTCTTGTCAGTGTTTAAAGTATCACTTTTGTACTCCACAGAATATCTCACATTTTCGTTTTTAATTAAAACATAATTTCCTATATAAACTATACTATCGTTGTTTAGTCTAGCTGGACAATCTATTTAAATATTAGTTTACATATAAACCGAAATGTATGCGTGCGAGTAGACTGCGTTGCCAGTGGAGTGCTTCAAGGCTCTATCCTGGGAACCCTTTTGTTTACCAAGTGTATCAACAATGTAACCACAGGACTGAACAATAACAACATTAGTAAATTGGCTAATAACATTAGAACGAGAGCTGACATAAACTGAGCCTGAAAATTAATATACTGTATATCATAGTATGACTTTAAAAAATGGACAAAATTTTGATAAGATACATTTTAATACTGACAAATATTGGGTTTTCATAATAAGAAATGATAAATTAGTTATCAGACATCGGCTGAAGATTGCCCAAGCTGAATGAAAAATGGACTTCTGGAAATTATGATTTGTATGGATCCTCAGCCACGAAATCAATGTAGAAATGCTAGAAACAAGGCAAATAGGATTCTTGAATACGTGTCTCGAAGGTCTTTGTAATAACACTTTTCTTTTCAAACTTCTTTTACCCTTGTTGTTCCTCACTTACATCATGTAGTCAGATGTTTGAAACCGTAGTGTAGAATGAAAATAAATTTCCTTCGAAAGTGTTAATAAAAAATTGATAAAGTTAATTTTAGGAATTAGGAACGTTATTTTTTTTTTAAGAGAGATCTAGGAAGCTCAGGATTCATTCTCCAGAAACGTAAAAAATATGATGAGGACATGAATGAATTATGCAAATGAATGAGTTTATTACAAAGGGGATATCAATAAGGTGTTAAATATGTCAAAAGAACACGAAACAGTGGCTCAAAATTAGATACGATTGCATTTTGAAATTACCTCGGTAAAAACTGGCTTGGATATAAGGCAGTAGATTTATGCAACAGATTACCGCGTAACAATTGCTTCCAACGTAGGTTAAATGTATAATTGAGTGTGATTAACTATAAATAGGAGCTGCATTGCATGGGGCCTATAAGTCTTCTGCAGTTTCAGGTATTGCAATATTCTCACTGTACTCTGAGGAAATATTCTGCAACGGTTAAGGATATAGTGTACTGTGTGGACATATACTCTACTGTGTGTGAGTACGTGTGGAGATATAACGTTTGTGAATATGCTGTGTCGTGTGACGAAGTATTATACTATATGGAAATATACCATACAGTGTAGATAACATACTAAGGCGTTTTGCGGCATATTGTACTGGCTTGGTATATGCTGTATAGTGTGCAGACACGCATAATTTATTTGGTAAATAATGTTTTATTGCCAGATGTTATACGTGCATATGTTAGGTAATAATCAAATAAAAACATTCCGAAGAAATAGAAGCATAAATAATATATTTAATTACATGGATGAAGCAGTGAGCTACTCAGACGATAAGGCGTTGCAGCCTCGAATCATTTTGTGTATATAGTGTCCCCTGAACTCAGGGATCACATAGGAATTGTTTAAAGGTTAAACAAACGCCGAGAAGCCCATTATGCAAATGACGGGAAGCATACGCAGTTAAGAGACTAATCCAAGAACAAAACCTAGACTGAGCTCCTTAACGGTAATTAATGAAATCCGGGGACATGGTGATTGTTCTCATTCTCAAATTAAGATTATATTTTGTGTAGTTGGTAACGTTATATAGCATTTTGTTCGAGCATATTGTTTGTATATGCTCTTCAGTCCGGTGCCCCCCCAAAATCACATGAGACAAGCCCATGACATCACACTAACAAGAGAAATGTTGAATAAAATCTATAATAGATAACACCCAAGATGTAAGAAGATTACAAATTCTTGAAACAATCCACATAAAACTAGAGCAACCCACCATAAATACCCAAATTACGGAACTATTCACTCAACCCACCATGAGAGTATAAGAACAAGACCGGAACATGAAGATGCCAACATAGAAGACACTGCTCAACACGCCACGTCCACTACACCTGATTAATCTTTGTATGTGCTACGAATCTTTTTTTCGCCTTATTCTTCATACTTTTACGCCTTACTCTTCACCTATTTGTATTTCTCTGCACCTGACCTTCTGAATGGTATAAATCCAATATTTATACCAATATTTAGTACTGTCCTATCACTTGAGAATGAACAATGTAGGTTCGAAACGTTGTGTAAATTTATAACAAGTGTAATACATTCTACAGTTATTTATTTTTCTTCACCTCGATGATGGCTTTTTTATAAATCCTCTTCCAATTAAACTAAAATGCAAGAACACTAGTCAAGATAGAAGCCCTAAACAAGAAAATAATCAATACAGAATATGCAGTCATATTCAATGAAACCATTATATATATAATGGTTATATATATAATTATATATATAACCACTAACCGGCCACGCGTTGCTGTGGCTCAGCAACGCATATATATATATATATATATATATATATATATATATATATATATATATATATATATATATATATATATATATATATATATATATATATATATATATATATATATATATATATATTCGAGAATTCGACCCCAGACAGCCAGGAGCACTATACACATGGCGTGCCCGGTTCCTTAACCACTCGACCAACCGTGACTGTACAAACATTATTGGGAGCCAAAGCTATATCCCCAACGACCCGACAGCACTTGGTGGTAAGCTTGGACATAGATATTTCTTCGAATAACCTTACTTTGTGGGGCCACGTGAGCAACACAAATGCGAACAAACTTGAACAAGCTGGTTAAGGAACCAAATACGTCATGTGTATAGTGCTCCTGGCTGTCTGGGTTCGGATCCTTCTGGGGTTTGAAGTTTTCAGTTATATATATATATATATATATATATATATATATATATATATATATATATATATATATATATATATATATATATATATATATATATATATATATATATATATATATATATATATATATATATATATATATGCAATTGACGATCACAAAACACAGATCATTTTATGCGGAAAATCCACAGAGAAATATGAAATGAGGTGAACGTTTCGGCTTTGTTAAAGCCTTTGTCAACACCAGACTGACTAAGGAGAAGGGAAGGGGGAGGATATATAGGCCGACACCTGACCCAACCCATCCCTAGGGAAGGAATTAACCAAAAACAGGTATAGCTTAGCTTAGAATGGTATCTTAAATAAAATTCACTTGTGAGACTGAGGAGAATGGTACTCTTCCGTTTTTGGACATTATGATTCATAGAGTCACTAGAAAGTTCAAATTTAATGTGTATAGGAAACCTACCAACGTGGGGTCGTATGTTCATTTTTATTCGAATCATCATAGTAAAGTTAAACAGGCAGTATTTTCAGGAATGTTTCTAAGAGCTTTGAGGGTTTGCAGCCCTGAGTTTTTTGATGAAGAGATTGCTAAAATATATGAAATTGGGAAGAGTTTACAATATCCTAAGAGGTTTTTGGATTTCTCGTTTGTACAAGCCAAGCGTACGTTTTATAATCACGTCCCTAAGGCGAAACCAAAAATGATTAACTCATTGGTGGTTCCTTATGCGAGTGGACTTGAAAAATTGTCTCTGATTTTTAAGAAACTGAATATAAATTTGGTGTTCACTAATAGTACGATCAAATCCAATTTAATAAAAAACTCCCCTGATACAGCAGGTTGTGTGTATTCGATTCCCTGCAATGATTGTGATTCTGTGTACCTTGGACAAACAGGAAAGTCCTTACAATTGCGGTTGTCACAACATGCTTATAGTATTAGAACTGCCCAAACGTCTAATGCATTGTATCTACATACGAGTTTATGCGATCACAATATTAACTGGAATGGGGCAAAAAGCATTACCAATTGTGGGGATTTCGTGGAACGGAATTTGATTGAGTCTGCGCTAATCAGTCAGTGTCCAAATCTTCTTAATGTTAGTACTGGTATGTATAAACTTGATCCATTTTTAAGTTATAATATTGCACAACAGTTTAAGAAACAACTCTGATAGAGAGGCTTACAATGTCTCATTATAATTGTATATTCATATATTGTGTGTTCATGAGGCTTTTCTTTAATCTTTCATCCTTATTCTCTGACCGCTTAATCCTCTTTGACCATTCTAAGCTAAGCTATACCTGTTTTTGGTTAATTCCTTCCCTAGGGATGGGTTGGGTCAGGTGTCGGCCTATATATCCTCCCCCTTCCCTTCTCCTTAGTCAGTCTGGTGTTGACAAAGGCTTTAACAAAGCCGAAACGTTCACCTCATTTCATATTTCTCTGTGGATTTTCCGCATATATATATATATATATATATATATATATATATATATATATATATATATATATATATATATATATATATATATATATATATATATA